AATTTTAAGGCAGCCACAAAACTTACGTTTTTAAGTTGAAAGGGGTGAAAATTTTTTACAGTGTATGGGTACCGGCTCATACTGGGGTGGAGGGAAATGAGGAAGTGGATTGCTTGGCTAAGATGGCTCTGAAGCACTCACATAGTGAAATTAATATAGCAATTAGCAAATCTGAAATCAAGAGAATTATATCAGTTGAAGTAAGAAAGATATGGCAAAAGTTATGGGATAGTGGAATAAAAGGAAGGCATCTTTACCAGATACAGGGGTGTGTAGGTGAAGAGAGAATAAGATGTGGGAGTAGGAAGAAAGATGTTATTATAACAAGAATGAGGATTGGACATTCAGCTTTAAATTTCAATTTACACAAAATAGGGAAGCATGAAAATGGAAGATGTGATAAATGTGGGAATCCAGAAACAGTAAAGCACATTCTTCTAGAATGTGATGCGTATGAAAGAGAAAGAAATCAGCTTAATCATAAATTAGGTTTGATGGGATATGATAAAGTATCACTAAAGATATTACTAGGGAATAGACGAATGCAATCAAGAATTAAAGAAGAAGTGTTCAATTATCTAAAAAAGACAGGAAATATGGAAAGAATATAAATTGTAATAGTGTAGGTTTATTTATAAAAAAAATTTTTAATTTTTATATATATTTTTATTTATTTTTTATTTTATTTTTTGTAATATCCTTCTCTCTACCAAATCTGTTCACTCCACACTCCAGATCAGTAGGTGGCGGTAATGCACCTTTAAGTTGGTTTGCCAAAACCGCCAATAAACATCAGAAGAAGAAGAAGAAGAAGAAGACGATTATTTTGTCATCAGCCTGCGTCTTGAGTGCGAAGATGGCGTCGGTGGATTTAAGAGGTAGTTTCAGAGATTTCGCGAATTAATTTACAAATCGTTTTTATTTTTTCTCAGCTTTATTTCTGTCAAATGCCTTTCGTAAGCATATTGAAATGCTGTAAAAGAAATGCAAAACATCTCATCAGAATGTTGGCTTTGTCAGACCAACGTAATCACATTGCTCTTTAGCATTGTCGCTATAGTTTGTTGTAGAAGGAGGCCCGCAGTATTCTCTGCATTTTCTACGATGTTTTTTATTTTATTATTTTACTCCTTGGCGTAAATGGTCTCATTCGAATATGATTTTGTGCTTTGTTTTGGTCAGATAATTTGCTGGGCATCTCGTGGGTGGACAGTGGCTGGGTGCCCATCCTGAACCCCAGCAACGTACTGGAGTATTTCTCCGAGAGGAGTAACCCCTTCTATGATCGAACCTGCAACAACGAGGTGGTGAAAATGCAGAGATTAACCCTGGATCACCTCAAGTAAGCACTGCACTATGGGTTTTGAAGCTCAAAGTGGGCGGAGGCGGCCGTCGCCATCTTGGCAGCACGTCACCACGCGCCACTCCCGGATAATCGAAAATGGGCAAAGAGGCGGGAGCAGGTTGCTGAAGCCACGCCCATCCACCTGTCACTCAAGTAGATGAATTACAGTTTAAGTCACTTCCTTGTTGGCTTCACCAGAGAGAGAGGGGGAGGTTGCAGCTTGGTTATAACCCTAGAACAATCTCCCTAACTCCTACTTCTATCAGTATGAACATTAATATTTTGTTTGTTTTGATGTGATCTAGCTCTCAGCGGTTCATGGGATTCAGTCTGCGTTTGATGAGGCGATGTCTTTCTGCAGATACCACCCATCCAAAGGGTACTGGTGGCACTTTAAAGAGCAGGAGGAGAGAGGTGAGAACACACACACAGCAGCAGGAAAGATATCTCAACAAGTACAACTGTACCTATCTAAAATTGTGTTTTGTATGTGTGATTTATAGAAAGGGTAAAGCCTAAATCTAAGCGGAAAGAGGAGCCGAGTTCTTTGTTCCAAAGGCAGAGAGTTGACACGCTGCTACTGGACCTGCGCAATAAATTTCCCCCAACTTTCTATCAGGTATTAACAATATACACATGAAACATTTCTAACTTGTTTCTGAATGTTGTTTTAATTAGAGCAACATATCCCATTTAAATTCTCATTTCATGTCTGTTTCAGTCCAAACCAGGAGAGAAGCCTGTCCCAGGTATGCAAATACTTGACTCAGTCTCACCTTATCACACGCTACAGATGAAAATCATGTTTAGTTATTTGTAAATTATAAAACTAATCTGAATGGCAAAACTTGGGGAAAAAAACTTGAAATTTGTCAGATTTACTGTAAATGGTATGGATTATGCACAATGGACAATGCATTTATTGTATACCTACATGTTTCCAAATCATACTTGCATTTAAAAAATACTTGGATGTAATTACATGTGTAATTCATATATTTGGAAAAGCAGCATAATACAGTTACTGTTTACATGTGGTTTGATTGAAGACTGACTGTCTGTTGGATAATTTAGCCGATTAAATGCTTTCATCACTAATATAGAAGAAAAGAAAAGCTAAAGCTTTGTTGACATTAGAAATATCCTGTACTCATTACTGATGAGAAGTGATTTTTATAAACTCACTCTCTATCCATAGTGGAGGTAAAGAAAGAACCTGAAGTGCCAGTTGAGACAGTGAAGCCTCCAGAAGAGCGAGAAACAAAGCCTGCGGCCCCTCAAACAAAGCCTGCGGCCCCCCAAACTACACCCAACAAACCACCACCTGAGAAACGTGCACGCCTACAGTGACACACATGCTGGTTAGCCACAAACAACTGTAACGTTGCAGGACTTATGTGGGCAGTTCTCTGCACCAGCTAACCAAGGGTGGACATTTACGATTATTGTATATAAATGCTTTTTCTTTATAATTTAATACTTTTTGTAATAAGGAAACTGAAATGTCTTTATTTCATCTTAATGTCATTTTCTATATTTCTGTATTACTGAGTTGTAGTATTATGCAATTCTGTCACTCACAGTAAAAAATACACGTCTTTTTCTGATTAAAATGTTTATGTATGTCCTTTGTTAGTGATTCAATAGATAGCGTATAATGGTTTTCCGATAGAGATGAGAGAGTGCGCAGCGCCCTCTTGTGTTCATATGGGTACGTGCATCTTTTGCGCTGCTGCATGAATGTGAACTGCGCTCTGTATTTAGTGCACTAAAACAGACTCATAGCCAGCAGACATGTTCTGATGAGAATTGAGTTTTTCCTCATATAACAGTGACAATTAGTTCAACCCAAATACTGCCAGTCCTGACCTAGTTCATTCCACCTGGATGCGCACAGTAGTCGTGCTTACAGTAAAATACATAACGGTACGATGTATTCATATCTTTTTAAACATTCCCACGATATTCTTTCGTGTACCAGCAAACTGACTAAGAGGATCTCGATAGGGATTGGTTTATTTATTAAATAATGTATTTAGGTAAACAGGTTGCAAAAAATCATAGTGTCGCCCTAGATGTTTTTGTTCGTCGATACTCGCGTTCGCCGCGCGGGGGCGCTGCAAAAGAACTCGTATCTCCAGCACGCGCAGTGCCACTTTCTGGCGAGCTTTACGCGAGCAGCCGGGTGCGCGCAGAGCACGATGGGACGGGAAGCGCAGCGCTGGAGGACCACCGAGAAGAAGATGGCTGCGACGGGTCTCTACGGGCCAGCGCTGTATCTCCTGCGCCGAGACGGCTAGAGAGGGGATAGGGGGTAAATATGGGGTCGCAGACCCTCCAGATCCTGCGGCAGGGCGTGTGGGCATCGGTGACGGGTGGATGGTACTACGACCCCCACCAGAACACCTTCGTGAACGCACTTCACCTTTACCTGTGGCTGCTGCTGCTCTGCCTCCCGTTCACGCTCTACATGGTGAGAGATACAGCCGTCGGTTTTTTTCTTCTCTCCATCCTTTAGTCGTTATCAGCCTATCTCTATCTATCTATCTATTCTTTCCTCATTTTTTTTATCCGTCTCTCCATCCCCCTCTCTTTCTCTCTAGCTCATCTATCTATTTCCAGTACACACAGGCTGTAACGTTATTTCTCTTCATCTCCCCTACGGTGTTTCCGTGGTCATGGAAAACCTAGAAATATCAGGGAATTTTAGAATTGTGATTTCCAGATCTGGGAAGGTCAAGGAAATTTATATTACTTGTATGTTACTTACTCTGTGATATTTCTTTGCTTATCCATTGTTTTGTGTGAATTAAATTTCTGAAAATGTAGTATTTTTAAAATAGAATTTCCAGTATTCTTAAACAATTGGAAAAGTCGTGGAAATTTGTTCTAAAGGTGTGGGAGTTCTTGTTGACAGCGATGTGGGTCTGGGGTCTGTTTGTTGAAACCACTGAATCGGTTCTGTTCTGGTTTGATGAGTGTTTGTTGTGGTTTTGACTTGGTTTTTCAGCAGAGTTGGGTATTTCAGACTTGCTGTCATGAGGTTTGGTCTGTGTTTAGTCTCTGTCTGCTTTAAAAGGATAGTTCAGCCAAATATGAATATTCTGTCATAATTTACTCGCCCTCATGTCTTTCCAAAGCTGTATGACTGACTTTCTTGTGGAACACAAAAGAAGATATTTTAAAGAAGGTTAGTGAGCCAAACTGTTCGACTTCCCTTGTTTAGAAACAAATAAACAGAAGAATGAAACTGTAACATATATTAATATAACACACTGGCACTGCCATAGAAAACACATTTTGGGTTTACAAAAGAGCAGCATTTATTTAAAAAATATATTTTTACATTATAAATGTCTTTACTGTCACTTTTGGTCAAGTTTGATGTGTTTTTGCTGAATAAGACCATTAAAAAAAAATTTTTTTTTAAGAATCTTGTGAAATGAAACTTTTGAATGATATTAGCTCAAAACGACACATAAATGGCTTGTGTTCTACTAATTTAAAATCTCTTGCTGTGTTTCCTTCCAAATGTTAAAGGTTTTTCATGGAACCATAGTTGCCAATAATAATTAAAAAAAACTTCCCACCATCCCACTGTGGCTTTGTTTATAACACATATCAGCTCATTTTAATTATGCTTTCAGCCACCAAAGTGTAGTACTCTCAAGTTTGGCACATTTTATCATATTTAAACTAATTCAACATATTTTATTCCAAAATCATTACAAAAAATGCAGGAAAAACTGTACAGATTCCATCTTTGTCATAGCAACTCTTGCGCTATCCTTCATCATGGTGAAATCCTTCACCATGTAACATTATACTCCTGTTTGCAGTCTATTTTAAGAAGATATGTGTAATAGACAATACTGTGTATTAATTTTAAAGCCATGCTCATTCTGTGGGTGAGGTATCAGGGCAGGTCTATGTATCTGTGTACAGATGGAGAGACTGGTGCCACTCAGTCCATATTTAACTTCCAGCACAGATCCATCCATCTAGGTTCTGCTTGAATACTCAATTACCTTTAAACAACAGCTAAACAATATCATGTAAAGACCCAAAGTAGTGCTGCAATATCTGTATCAGTGAGGTGATGTATGTGTTTTTTGTGAATGAATATTAAAGAATATGCGTCTGGGTGTGTGTGTGTGTCAGATATGGAGAGGTGTTTAGGGCAGTATGGTGTCAGGTGGCTTTGCTAGAGACAGATGTCCATTCAGTGCAAGGCTGTTTTTAGCTTCTGTCTTCTGGTTGCGACTGAAATATTGTTGCCTCTTTTCATAACCCTGTAACTCTGTATAACACGGTCCTATATTTGTGTATGATATTTATACAACAGAAGGATGTTATTAATAGGCTGGAATATGTGAGCTCAGCATATCATACCCCCAATGCTTTGGTTTGCTTTAATGTCAATATTTGAAATGCGGTGGCTTTTTAAAAAAATTCTTTGATGGATAATAGATAATAGATCTAAAGATTGTACACAAATGTTCAGAAGTTGTGGTCTGTAAGGTTTTTTCATGTTTTTTTAAAGAAGACTTTTCTGGTCACCAAGGCTGCATTTTACACAGTGAAAACCGTAATATAGAGAATTTTGTTTTTACAAGTTTAAATAACTGCTTTCTATTTTAATATATTTTAAAAATGTAATTCATTTCGGTCAGGGGAAAGCTGAATTTTCAGAAGCGGTTACTCTAGTCTTCAGTGTCATATGATCCGTCAAAAATCATTCTAATTTGCTGATTTGGTGCTGAAGAAACTTTTTTTATTATTATCATTAATATTGAAAAGTGTTACGCTGATTAATATTGTTGTGGAAGCTGTGATGCATTTTATTTTTTCAGGGTTATTTGATGGATAGAAAGTTCAAAAGAACAGCATTTGTTTGAAATATAGGCCTATCTTTTATAACATAAATGTCTTTACTGTCATTACTGTCAATTTAATGCATTCTTTGCTGAATAAAAGTGTTATTTTCTTTAAACATAAATAATATATATTTGTTCAAAATCACAAAAATACTTTTTTTCAACTCATTTTAAACCTCTTACTGTGTCTCTCTTTCTCTGTAGACCTTGCCCCCCACAATGGTGATTGTGGGTATCTACTGCGGGGTGATAGCAGGAATGTTTGCGCTGCTGAAGGCAGTGAATTATCGCCTGCACACTGCGCTGGATGAGGGGGAGGTGGTGGAGCTGCGGGCCAAAGGGAGCGAGGGACGGGGCCAGGGGGCAGAGCGCCAACGTGAGGGTACCGGCACCCGGCAGGAAGACTCAAACAGGCCTGGGTAAGAATCACGGTTTTCTCTCATAAGCCATAACAAAATGTACTGCACAGTCACTGCACAGGTAATATTTTTTATTTTGTATAAACAGATTTGGTTTAGCTTAGGAAGGCTCTGGTTTGACTCAGACACGGGTTAGAATCGTCTCATATTCTGAATCATCCCAAGACACATTGTGAATCATCTCAGGGTTTAATTCTTCTCTAGAAACATTCTGATTTGGCTCTGGAAGGTAATGATTCAATTTAAGAAAAGCTTTTTAAATCATTTCACGTTTTGAATCTTCACAGGAAAGATTCTGATTCTGCTCAGAAAGGTTCTGGTTCAGCTCAGTAAAGTTCTGATTAAAGGGACTGTTGCTCAGCGGTAGGGGTGTTTCTGAGAACTAATCTGCTGTCATGCTGGATCTATTCATCACCCACTGAGACAGAGAAAAAGGGAGGAGGGAAATGGGTTAATCAGGAGAACTGAAATAGAGCCTTATAAACCAACACACACAGGCTGATGCTTTTGTTCATTCACTCAGAAGAGTCAGAAACAGTCTGCAAACAGAGGTGAGATAATTGCTAGGTTGCACATTTTCTACGAGAGCAAGCATTGCTGACAGAGTCAGAGCACATTAAACACTGTAACTCAAATCATGAATCAAGCATTTTAGCAAAGTTTTTTTTTTACAGACATCAACAACTTTTCATGTATTAGAAAAGAACACATGTTTTATTTTCTTGCATTCTTATCTCTATGAAAAAAAGAGAAATGGAGAGTCTCTTAAATGGACTATAAACACACATCTGGAGGGGCATTCCTGGTTGTCCTGGTTGGTAAGATAGCACTAATTAAGGAAATATATGATATGAAGAGCTCATGTGTTCCTTATTGTTCCAGAGACATGCATGTATGTCCCGAATGAAATAAATGAACCGCCCATTTCTAGCCGTGGGATTACCATTCACCACAACATTTTATCCTTTGGGGGCCAAGCAAAATAAACCTCCTAAAAATATTAAAAACGGTATAATCTCCCAAAAAGTGACGGGAGGAGGGGTGGATCTCTGTCTAATGGGTGGCAGACATTAGATAGAGAGACGCTAGAAATGATCTCTCTGTCGGTGCCTGAGCTGCTGTGCAAGTTTGATCATAAATGACATTGTTAACTCTCTTGAACCCTCAGGGCTGTTCCTCTGTTAGTGTTGCTAGGTAACTAACCTTTTGTGTGTGTGTGCAGGGATCCAGGGGGTGGAATAGAGATGTCTGATTTTGCACGGGAGGAGACGCCACCGGTTGACTGCAGTTCACGGAACTCTTACG